GCTTGCCAATGCAACACATTTAATTAATGTTTTAAAAGTTACATGTCAGGGTAAGTGGATATCTGCTGTACTGTCACATTATAGAATGGTTTAAAGCTGAATCTGGTTACAATGTCACAGCATTAGCAACATAAATATTAACTAAATCCAGTGTAAGTAATGTCTTAATGTAAGTTATCACATACTTCCTTTCAGTGCTGGAAAAGACCAGAAAAAAAAAACACTGTTCCAGTCTGATTATGAATGATTATGAATTACACTTATGTTATTACCCATGTGTAATTACATGAGAGATAATTTGATGTTACAACTATCAAGACACACTCGCGTAATTACCAGAGGCAAAACTAAAATAGATACACGTGTGTAATTACAGAAGGTGTACTTTTGTACAGCTAACTTTAAACTGTACAAGGGCAAACTGATCTCAGAGTCAGAGTAGAAGCAAAGGTCGAAACACGGAACAGCAATAACAGAGTAACACAATCAAACACAGGACACACAAGCAAACTGTGTCTCTGGTGCAGCAGAGAGAGAGAGAGAGAGAGAGAGAGAGAGAGAGACGCACAACACCCAGTGCATTTACAGCGGAGTGTAACATTGTATCTTAAGCACTGTTGGCTGAGACACAGATGGCTGCCAGTTTTCTGTTTCAGCTATAGCCTCTCTCTGCTCCTTCACCTTCTGGATCTCGCTCTACCTTATCATGTTTCTGCTTGATTTCACGCTTGGTCTGGGAAATCTTTAATTTTTGTATTTTTCACCTCTTCTTCAGCTACTCTTACAGCTTGTGAAGTTTGATGTATTTCTACTCCACCACCAATCATCATGCCAAGACCTCCACAGAAAAGGAACATATGACAATATGACATTTAAAGTGTTGCAATGCAAAATGATGCATTTTTATATTAGATATTTTTTTGATAGTTTACATCAAATATGTAAAGCATATTATGCAAATGAGCTGGGCAACACCAGATCAAGTTGTTATGTGGTGTGGTAACTGATTGTGTTACTTGTAGCCATGTACTGATGTTTAACAATCAAATGCCCATTGAGCTGGAGACAAAACAGTTGAAATAACAGCTAATATATTCACAATACTGGACAGTAATTTTTCATTTTAAAGAATAACATATTAGGCTGCTATGTTGCTTTGCTTTGTGCTTTGGCTGCTTTTTTGCACAGAACTAGCCTACAACCCTCTGCATATATTTACATTCAATGTGGCAAACAGTTGACAAGGGAAAAGAATTAAAGCGATTTGACTCACTGTGATAAAAATACAGTGTTTACTTCAGTAGCATACAGCAGATTCTGATAAATACATAAATATAACACAAAATAATAATATAAACTCCACAAGCACACCTGGGTTTTTTTCATGATTTCATTATTGAAAAATTATTTTTAATTAGAATTTTTTACTTTTTTTTTAGCAGTTGCTATTGAAACCTAAAATCTAGGGGTGCTGCAGCCCCTTCAGCACCTTCAATTCCCACATGGAATGTTCACAACCCCTGGTTATAATACAAGTGTAGTTCTCACCAGCAATCCATCCGGCAACTGGTATAAAGACACACTGCTTCTACACCTGTCACAATCTCAGCATTACATTTCCTCTCTTTCTGTATCTGAAGTGTGTCTCTTGTAGAATTCAGATGTCTTCTGGACTGCTCCAGAGCATCTTCAGACATTTTCAGTGAGCTTTTCTTAGATGTCTGCTCTGTTCTCAACACTTTCTTTTAAATTTAGACTGTACAACAACAAATTTCAATACTGATCTCGACACAGGTCAGCATATACATGCAAAGTATTAAACAGCAAGTCAATGACAGAGCAGCCAAAGTAATACTAACATTAATGTTCACACAAACCAATTGTAGCAAACATACTTATTAGACTGCTAAATAATAATTTCATGAAATTATATTATGAAGTTTATAACTGCTTATTTTATAAGCATGAATTTTCTATCTAGTTTAAATTGATGATGCAAAAACAAATTCATAGAACTGGCATATCATTTCTTTTGCTGGTTTGAGTATTCATTTTAAAAAGATGCAGTTTTCTGTTTTTCATGCAGGTCGTTCTGTGTAAAGAGGCTGGCCTGTGCTCCCCTTAATTCTGTGTGTGGGCCCCAGTACAATCAGCATTCCAGAAAGACCCCTGGGACCACCACTGAGCAGATATTAAATGAGTGGCAGACCACCTTCAGTCTGAAGTATGTTAAATGCAAGCATCAGATAGAGCAGTGTTGATGAAGTGTTTAAACACCTCAGTGTCACTGCTAGGTTTTAAATCAAAACCATCCAGCCAACAGCGGCTCTGTGGTCAGAAATGGACCGCTGAAGAAGGCCTAGACAATGACTAACAAACTATGCATCAACAAATGAGCTACAGTCTCCAACTCTACACCAGCAAGGTGGAGCTACAATGTAGGGATTTCTTATGAAGTGGTCAGGGAGACACACAGTGTATAAAAGGACCAGCAACACCGCTGCACCTCATACACTCATACCAGCACCACACACTGCCATGTCAGTGTCTCTGGTTATTCATACTCCACAAACAATGATCAGTGCCTGGTTTTGAATCAAAACCATCCAGCCAACAGTGGCTCTGTGGTCAGAAGCTGACCGCTGATTAAGGCCTTGATGATGATTAATACAAACTATGCATCAACAAATGAGCTACAGTCTCCAACTCTACACCAGCAAGGTGGAGCTACAATGTAGGGATTTCTTATGAAGTGGCCAGGGAGATACACAGTGTATGAAAAGACCAGCAACACTGCTGCACCTCATACACTCATACCAGCACCACGCACTGCTGTATCAGTGTCTCTGGTTATTTATACTCCACAAACAATCATCCACCCAGCACAACAGGAGAAATAAATTACATAATTAAAATTAAACCTCAGATATGAGATCTAAGCTTGGTAAAAACTTCAGCTTTGGTACATTTGCGTGTGATTCTTATCAGAAATCCAAAACAAACACTGACAAAGCAAACAATCCCATTTCTACACCACTCATAATACTAGCAATATGTTTCCTCTCTTTCTCTAAAGTGTGTCTATTGTTGAATTTATATTTTTCTGGCCAACTCCAGAGAACCTTCAAACTATTTCATTTCCCATAAGGGAAAAAAAATATTACAAATGTGTCACATATGTTTTTGCAATGTATGAAAACTGCCAAAAATATACTCCCCGACTTTAAGGCTGAATATATAGACCTTCTAGTACCGCTAACCCTGTGAACCACAGGTTCTCTGTTCCAATTTTTCTGTGAGCAAACCTGACAAGTTTGATGCCAACCTGTTTTATTTTAACAACTCACCACCAAGTTCAGATTTGACCAAGATTTCTTTTCTTGTTTCTCGGCTGGCTGATAGGGCTTTGGAGTGGGCTACCGCGATCTGGCTCAAGTTACAGTCCTTATTGTATGAACAATTTGTAAAGGAGTTTCATACTGTATTCGATCACCCCATGATGGAAAAGTTAGTGACTCCTTTCTAAGCTTTACTACTGGACTCCAATGTGTTCTCCTTTGATCTCCTTAGATGTTTCTGCTGTAGATGGTTGGATGCAGCACAGCGAAAGAGTCTGGGAGGAGACACAGGTATTGAAAAAATGTAATCCCAAGTATAATGGTCTAGGGGGTTTAGTTCAGTCCTTGTGAGTTTAAAAACCTGATTGCTTGAGGAACAAAGCTGTCCTCACTATACGCTGTAGGGTCTTGCGGTCAGAGGTGGTGCAATTCCTAAACCAGGCGATGATGCAGCTGCTCAAGACACTCTCCACAGTCCCCCTGTAGAGCATGGTAAGGATGATGTGAGGTTCTCTGTGATGTGGATACCAAGGAACTTGGTGCTCCTGATGATTTCCACAGCAGAGCCAGTGATGTTAAGTGGGCGGTGGTCACCTCACACTCTCTGGAAGTCAACAACCATCTCCTTAGTTTGGTCTACATGATGACACCGCTTCCCTACCAGAGGTGGTAGATGGAGTCCCAGTCTATGCTGTTCGGCAGTTGCTGAACTCCTGAAGACGTGGAGGTCAACTTCAATACCTGGTGCACTGGGAGAGGTACGGGCTGGAGGAACAGTGTTGGGTGTCAGTGTTTGATGTCCTGGACCCAGGATTAATCACAGACTTCCACACCTGACATCCAGACAAGCCTGCTCCATGCCCCAGAGGTCCCCCAGGAGGGTCATTACCAGTTTCCATCCTGGTCGTCGTCATGGGAGGACCCCTTCAGTCCAGCACCACAGCAGCTCTGGGTCTGCTCCATTTTTGCCTCTGGTCACGCAGTTGGTGGTCATCGGTTGTTTTTAAGTGTTTAGGCTAGACCCCTTTGTTCCAGTGAAGAATGATGTTGATGCTACATCATACAAAGACATTTTAGACAATAATATGCTTCCAACTCTGTGGGAGCAGTTTGAGGAAGGCCCTTTTCCTGTTGCAGCATGATTGTGCTCCTGCGCACAAAGCCCTTAAACGTCTTTGGAAACATTGATTGTGAGCCTTCCCATCCAACATCACGGTGGGCAGAAGGCAGGATACACCCTGGACAGGTCGCCAATCCATCGCAAATATATATATAAACTCAATAAATAAATAGAAATATATGCCATATTAAAGTTTTCATTTTTTATGTTTTCACTTACAAAAGCAACAAAGCAAGAAAGTAGAATTAAACTGAGCATCACAATAAAATAAGGGGTATTTGTACTTCTTTAATAAAATTTAATAAAATTTCATCACATTGGACCCCATTTTCAAGCATCAACAAAGAACTCAACAAAGGAGCACAAACAAAAAATCTAGGTAACAATCACGTAGCTCAAAACATGAGAATGTGTTGTGCTTATGTACTCATTCAGTTAGACCTTGTGCAGTTGATCTCATTGCTCAGCACAAGAGTACCAGCCCACATGAGACTGAGCCCCTCCTTAAAGCTCAGTAACGTAGCTCAGAGGGAGGGCTGGGTTGTTTGATCCCATGGACTACAAGTTCTAACTTTCTCTCATTTTTTCATTCCTTCTCTTCCGTTCAGGTCAGCAGAGCTGAAAGAACTTCATCAACACCTTCAGTAAAAACTATCAAGGTAAGGCAGCTGACTTAAACCAAAGATTATTATTTACTGGATGCCTTTTTTTATTATCATTCATATAAATTCTAGTTTACTGGACAGACACAGGACTGTTAGCTGCTGTACACTCTCAAGAAAAAAGTACTTTTTGGGGTCCAAACACTGTCACTGGGGTAAAAGGGTGCATCTTCAGCACCTTTAAGGAACATAATTGTATCACATTCTGTTGCAGTTATAGATGCATTGACTCCATACACCCTGTTTTTTACTCAAAATTTCCATTATTTCTGTTTATTTTCTACTGTGGGGTGACTAAGACTCACCGGGATAGTCCCCTTTTTTGGGAAAGTATAGCTAGTATTGTCAAGCAGCCTAGTTAAAGGTTTTGGAAAAGCATGAAGGGATAGTTTAAATAGGTCATTACTGTAGCTTAGGGTCATTCAGACGAGTTCAGTGAACTGTGTGTAGTCCTTTGTTATCTTTCTAAAATCATACTGGCTTGGCTGTCAGTGTGATTGTTCTTTGCTTTAAGTGGAGACAGGTGAAGCAGACTAATGCATATCCTGACGCCTAAGGTTTTCATTTCATTTTTGACTGTAATACAATTGATGTTAATTTAGAGTTGTGAGCCGTCTGCCAAACATGTTTATTTAAATCAGTTTAGGAATATGAATGTTCTGAATAATCTACATTCTAAACTGTCTTCATTCTTCATTAAAGTCAGTCTTCAGACAGGGCTTGATAGAATCTGAATATTAAACTGTTTATTGATATTAAACTGTGTTTTTCAGATCTATTCTTTGATCAGGTCTTCTTTGATGTTTCCAAAATATATTCAGTTTGGCAGTAACCAGTAAGATGTGAGAGAAATACAGTTTTCTGCAGTTGTTGATTTAGTAAATCGAGGCACAGTATGCTTTTTTTCTACAAAAGAATGACTTCCATGTACCTTCTTCTTAAAGGAATAGTTTTCAAATTTTCCCCTTGTCCCCCAATATATTTCTTCAATAAAAACATGTTTTTTTTTAAGTTTGCTAATGTAGCTACTATAAGCGAGTGGAAGCTTTTCTTCACCATGCTGCATTGTACAAGCTGCAATCATCACAAAGAGACTTCCTTATGTGTTTTCTGACCCTGTATGATACTTACAAAAGTTACCTATAAAAAAGGTTTGGAGACCTAATTTAATAATGATTTTTTGGTCATGATTACTGTTTACCTGATAAAACGTCATTTTTAGCATTATCCAAAGGATTACTATATTAAAATTCTGTAATGTGATTACTCTGCTTTTGGTTTGCTATATATATAGATATATTTAAATAATTACCAGAGAAAGCGATTTCAGCAGGAGAACCTCCTAACACAAGATCAACAGACATGCATAGAAATAATGTTTAATGTATGATGTATTATAGTCTGTACAGTACACTGTAGAAGAACAGCTAGCCCTTCATTGCAAAAAAAAAAATGTATATTAGCAAGTAAAACATTTTTTAAATGTAGTCAATACCTAATATTTCTCATTATGAGATTTAAAGATTATTGAACTTTTTAAACATTTCTAGGCATTTTTACTTGCTATTTTTAATTTTATTTATTTCAAGAATTATTCCTTGAAATAGTACAAGTACAATAGTACAAGTTCAAATGGCAGCAAACTAAAGGGCACACAGACTTGTCAATCTTGTATAGATACACACACTAAAAGCTATAATAATTTCCTTTTATACAAACATGTTTCTTCTTACTATTTATTTTAGCAGGAGAAAACCGGCAATGGAGTCCCAAATTGCTAAGACTTTTCAAAAGCTCACCTCAGCTGAGGAGATGAGAAACCAAACCAAGCTTGTGATGCAGCCTTATGCCAACTGGGAGGAGTACCTGACTCCTGCACCACTTTCCATAGCCATCCTGGGAGAGCTGGTCTTCATCTCTTCCAAAACTGATTTCTCCATCAACAAAAACCCACCAAAGGACGGCTACAAGTACATCAAATACCCAGATTCATTCCGTGCCTGTCTCATGCAAGTGTGTAACTCTGGCTGGTGGGCTTTCAATGACGCCCACAAGAACATGGATCAGATTCGGCTTCACACCATGGCTGTTCCAGACTATATGAAGACTGCAGTGAAGATTCTGTTCCAAGATAATGATGAAGTTGTTCAAGCTCACCTTCCTGACCAGCTGGAGAACATTCGTGTTATTGCAGATGACTGTCTTGCTCTGTCCAAATCAACAGAAATGCGGTTTAGTGAAGTCATCAATATTATCCAAGAGCTGCTGGAAGCCTGTGTAAATGCTGAGCACTTTTATGGAGAAGAGCTGGAAGAAATCAAGAAGAAACTGGAGGAGAATAAAATGAGGAAACAGTCATCAGAAGAAGCTGCTAAACGCTCTGAGAAGGCAGTTAAAATCTTGGAAAAAGAACTGAAGGAAGCAAATGACACCTATAAAAATGCAATGGATTCTCTTCCCAGTGGATGGAACATGGTGGCTATGGATCTTGTTGGAATGATATCTGACAGCGTCACAGTTCTAGTCACTGGACTGACTGCTGTAGTGACCCAGCCAGTGGCCCAAATGTGTAATGCTTCAAAGAAAATTGCAGAGACAGTGAAAGATGTAAAAGGTATGACCTCTTCTGCAGATGGATTTGATGAAATGAACATCTACAGCAAGTCTACAGAAATCCTGACGTGGACAGAGCTTATTCAGCAGTATGTCCAGAACAATGACATTGACTGGAAGAATCTGTATGATCAGAAGAACAAATCTACAAAAACAGATTTTGTGAAAGATCAATTCCAAAGAATTAATTGCAGCTTAGAAAAATTCCCAGAATGCAAACCAAAGAAGAAGGCTCAGAAATTATGCAAAGAGGCAGTTAACATCTGTATAAACCTGGCAAAATATGCACCAGAAGGGAAATGTGAGGAAGAGAAAAAAAAGGAGTTGATTGAGAAAATCAGAGAACTGATTGATTCTGCCCGCACTTTTGACTGCAAAAGCAAAGACGTCACAAAAACTCCTTCCTTGATTCCAAAACCACCTATGTTGTCAAAAGAAGAAAGTAAATCAGAGAGGAAAAGTGCTTCAGAAAGGGCATCAGAGAACGCCAGGTTCCGCATAGAGCAGAGCCGAGCTCAACTGAAGAACACCAGAGAGACCTATGACAAGAGTGTTGAGAACATGGAGAAAAACCAAAAGGAACTGACTGAAATATTGATCTCCCTGCAAAATTGTGAATTAAAAGAGATCGACTTTAACACCACCATACAGATGCTGGTCAAAGGGATGGATGCCATGGGGAGAGTGAAGGAGCAGTGGGAGAAGATGGTGCGCTTCTTTCAGATGGTGTCCAACATTGTGAAAACCAGCCTGAACAGAACTCTCAAAGATTTTGTCTCCACGTCTGAAAAGACTCAGTCACTTTCCTACAACTCAAAGCTCTTCTCCAAAGATCTGCTCTACAGTCAAGCTTTTCAGGCCACTAACATTGCCAGCCTCGTCCACATGATCTCAGCAACCTACACTGATGTGTCTAACAAGTATCTCATGGATCGTGTCAGTTCACTGGGGAAACTTATGGCCATGGACAAGACAAGACCAGAGTTTCTAAATGAGCGTCTGAAGCTACAGAAGTCCTGTGATGAAGCTCAGAAAGGCATTTTACGCCTTGTCCTCAAGAATAAGGATGAGTTTGAAAGGAAGACTGATTCAAGACTGGAGAAGATTGATAAAGAGTTGCTGGCCATTCTTCCCTCTGCTGCTCCAGAAGAGATGAAGAGCATTCAAGCAGCTGTTGAAAGTGGATTCACAGAAGATGAGGAGGCGTTATACTTCTGAGTGTATTTCCAAAACTTGTTCTCATTTAATCTGAAAATTACATTGATGTTGATGGTAATTACTAATTCACCTTGATTTTCCCCATGTTAATTATGTTTAAAGGGTTAAACAGGTGCTACTTGTACACTCCTGGCATGTCAGAATTTTGGTTCTTTCCTTTATAGAACGTGTGAGTTATGCCATTGTTATTTATAACACTGCTGTTGGAACAAAACCTCGTATCTCCATTTTTGTTGCTTTTCATTTTTTGACATAATTTGAAAGTGCCTGTTGCCCTTTACATTATGTGTGGATTTTATGAATTCAAATGAATCAGTCTGTAAATATTTTATTATGATTAATAAACTCTTGTAATATGATCAAATGAGATTTAACTTGTCTTTATTCCAGTGTTATGACTTTGAGATTTTGAGAATGCATTTATGTATCTTTGCCATCAATAGAAGCATTTTACTCTTTATGCGCCTTGATTGGTTGGGCTTCACTTTTTTTACCACTACTGCAAATATCACACAGAAGGCTGTGCATACACACACACACACACACACACATATACACATTTTCTAAGCCACTTATCTTTCTGGGTTGCGGGGGGAGATGGAGCTCATCCCAGCAGTCACTGGGCAGAAGGCAGGCTGCGCATAGTGTACAAGAAATGAAGATCCACCAGATGGCAGCATAACATACCTCTACAATGACATCAGTAACATCACTTTCCAGAACCAGTTCATAAAACTGATTTAAATGCAAACAAACATATAAAAAATAGCAGCTTGTTTTAATATGTATGTTGGGTTTTAATGATACTAAACATATATTAAAAAGAAATTAGAATTTGCCAATCTTATCAACTTATGAATTTAATTATTTCAACAATTTGCATTATGTTTTACACTGTGATTCTCAATGAAATGAGAGGAATGAGAATGTGATTTTAATTATACAAACTTAATGCAGATTCAAGTCAGTATTTCTTGTTGCAATAATAAGAACAGACCAAATACTAAAAAATGTCCTTTTGAATAAACACAATTACAATGTAATTTTTGAACAATTTATTTAACCAATAATCATATTTCACTTGTGTTATACTACTACTACTACTAATAATAATAATAATTATTATTATTATTATAATTAATTATTACTATTATTATTATTATTATTATTATTATTATTATTATTATTGTTGTTGTTGTTGTTGTTGTTGTTACTAAATTGTTGTTGTTGTTGCCCTGCAATGGACTGGTGACCTGTCCAGGGTGTTTCCTGCTTTCCACCCACTGACTGCTGGGATAGGCTCCAGCTCCCACCACAACCCAGAAGGATAAGCGGCTTAGAAAATGTGTGTTTGTGTGTGTGATGTTGTTATTGTTATTATAAAACAGAAAACTATGCATTCTACCTTGTTACATTTATGTCTGTTTTTTGCAGCTGGCTTGTGAAAGGCCAGTCTGGTGATCATTTCAGGCCACCTGGTGATTGTAACCATGGTAACATCAACAACCCACACCAGCGAACTTTTTCTGTTTTCTTTACATTTCTTAAGGATTTATTTTCTGGCATAGTTCATACTCTTTTTCACATTCATTTGTGCAGTAGTTAACTGACATCTGTACAGGCACTGAATCATAACTGCTGCACCATTTAAGCTGAAACCAACTTCAGCCTTGTGTCACGGCAGAGGTAAGTGTGTTTCTGACACACCCAGGCAGAAATTCAGGTAGCTCAAACAATGTTGGTCAAACTTGGATATGACACTAAGTTACAATGCCATGAAGCTTTCTTGTTTTTCAAATTAATGTAGACTCTAAAATCCCTTTACTACCCTTTTACCCTTTACTAACTACACTGCTTCTGTAATGTGAACATTTCATTATGACATATGATTTTTTTCCAAGTAAGAGTGATGTACTTCACAGTCTTCCACGGTGTGAAACTTAGGCTAATATTACTGCTTGTTTTAAACATGCCATAAAATGAAAGCAGGCAAAAAAGTTCAGGTGCAAGTATGATCAGACTTTTTCATTATGGGTGCAACCAAACTGCTTGCCCTCCAGGACAATTTTAAGTTTTACGCAGGTTTTGCACAGCAGCATATGTGGCGTCAAAAAGGACACCTTTAAATAATAGGTCTCGCCATCACACTAAGAGGGTGGGAGGGGAGCTGGGAGTGTGAAGACTAGCACATACTTCCACCAAGACATGTGAAGCGCCACAACATCTCTTTAAACTCTTAAAACTAAAATCCTTTACTACAAATAAGTAAGCGCCAAACCAAACTTTACAATGATTTCAGAGATAACAGCCTCTGAATAACATTGTTTTGCCACGACTACAACTGCATGTTTTACATGTTACTCTGAGAAGACCTGAGGCCCAAAAATAAACGCTAGCATACCATTCACAACACTCAGACAACTAGACAATACCACAAGTAAGCATTAGATCTGCGATGCAAAATGTGTGTCCAATCCAGTGCACGTATGTATGATTTTCTTCAGCTCACCAGTAAAAGTAAGAGCGATGTTTTTTTTTTTTTTAATTGCCTATTATTTGCCTGTCTTGATTGATTTCATGGCGATATCCACTCAAATCTCTGTGGCTTCTTGACATTTAAGCACTACCAGAATTACTGCCACTTACTGATGTAGAAAAATAGCTGTAATTTTCTGATGAGGAAACAGTTTTATTCCAACATGCTGAGTATCCATTAATAAGGATATTAATTTTGGATATATTATTTATTTAATAAAGGTGGCATATATTCATAGTAAAGATGGTACATATTAAGGCAATTCACTTTTGTTGTTGTTTTTGTCACTCAGTGGTCTGGTGGACCCATCGCATTATTGTTTTTTAAAATGATGTTTAAAATGTCACAAGTGGCCATCATAGGGCTCTTCTTTAGCAGCTGTAGCTAGTCAGCAGCCTTTGCATGTTGTCCACCCTCACACACACACATATACAAACACATACACACAGACACACACACAGTAACAGCAGGCCATGTAGGAGGAGAGCAGAGTGACACAGCACCTCCACACTTTTATTCCCCACAGGTTCACCCCAACACTACATATGTAATATAAATGTGTAGGGGTGTACAGTGTGAAGTCATTGAAAATGTGTTATTTTATATGTTCTTCACAGAAAATAAGCAAAACCCAAGGAATCTGGGGTTGAAAGAATAATAAATCGCATCATTTTTTCTTTTGCTAAACATTGAAAATGGGTCCCACAGAAAAGAAAGTAAATAATTTCAGTAAATAAACTAAATAAGCAATTCACAGTTGTGATGTTGCGTAGTCTACATAGGTCACAGTATGACGCTGCAGTAAGATTTGTAGGATAGAATACATTGCGTGAACAGAATGAATGACACTTCCAGAAGTATGGTGATGTGTATTAACTTGCTTTTTGTGCTTAATTAACACATTAATTACTGATAAATTCAGATGTTGAAGAAAGACTTTATTCATATATTGGATGATAAGCGAGTAAATTCATCTTCATATATTGGCATATGCATTAGTTAATGCTGAGTAATATAGAACTCAATCATTTGTTCCTGATAAATTATTTTCTGATTAATTATTCATGCATTTATTCATCAGTGCCCTACTGTCTGATCATGTAGCCTTACTATAAAGTCTTACCAAAAGTTTTGAGAACAAAACAAAACAAAAAAAAAGCTGTGTTAGTGGAACTGTGGCTGAGTGACTGACACGACAACTACACCACGAAGAGTCTAACTAAAAAAATATAGTCTATAGAGCATATAGAATGTGCGTGCAAGGCTGGTAGCCTGATTTCTCACAGTCTGTTTACAGCTTGCTGTGGCGCCCAAGTGTTAAACCAGAAACCAGCAGCACAGACGGTCTTTTTACATCCTGTGACATTGTCTCTGCTTACCATCCTGCTAAGGTATAATTTTACATTCTCATATTTAAACACTACATTTTTCACACATTTTTACTTTTCTTCTCAAGGTGAAAGTATGTTGAGGATGATTATTACTTAATTATCATTCTTTATATTATAATCACACCATAATTCATACTATAATTAACTGTTTAATTAAACAGTTTAATTCTACATTTTATTAGTGAATTATTTTTCTTCACTTCTTATTACTTCCCTGAGCCCCTGTGGTGATATTCATTACAGAAACATGCTGGTTTTTAATGTAGTGCCATCGGGGGGTTTGATGGTCAGTTATGATTTTTGGCCTTGCCCTTTATTAGGATTGGGATAACTACTGAAAAATTAGTAGTTAGCTACTTTGTAGCTACTTTCATAAAATTTGTAGCTATCTACAATTTAGCTACTTTTCAAGAAAGAGTAGTGGCTTCTTTTTAGCTACTTTTTGAAAAGTACTGCACTACTTTTTAGCTACTTTAAGAGCACGATTGTCAGAATGTTTGTGATTCTCCACCTGTCACACCAAACAAGCCCAACTGACAATGTGAACAAGATACTGCATTTAATCATGCACCAGAAAGAAACATACTATTGAAAAGCTGCAAATGTACAAAAATATCACCAAAAAGTGAGTTTAAGTGTAACCAACAATCAATCTTACACAACCAAAGGCATGATATCCAACAAGTATTTAGACTAAAGGCAAAGTCAATCATTCCAGCTTTTTCCTAACAAAAATCAACAAAAATAACCAAATACAAACCAGAGAATTTTGTGCAAAGCATTCTCAACTGTTGAAATAAAACTGCTCCAATTTAAACATTTCAGCAAGATACACCGATCAGGCATAACATTATGACCACCTCCTTGTTTCTACAATCATTGTCCATTTTATCAGCTCCACTTACTATATAGGTGCACTATAATTACAGACTGTAGTCCATCTGTTTCTCTGCATACTTTGTTAGCCCCCTTTTATTCTGTTGCACTGTACAGTGTTACTGCAGTGCTGAGAATGATCCACCATCCAAATAGTACCTGCTCTGTGAGGGTCCATGGGGGTCCCCCCCCCCGCCACACTCTCTACAACGAGACCAAAACCGAAGTTATAAAATAACTGAATTAAACGGGTAGGACGGCTGTAACATGTGCTGCGTGGACATTCACTACCACTGGATCTTATTTCACCCTAACAGTGCATTTTATCGCAGATGAGTGGCAGCAGCGTCTCAAACAAGAGCAGTGAATGAGAGCCTTCTAGATCACTAACATTTGAGTAATTAATGATTAATAAAAGATAATGGAAGTAAATTCATTATGGATCATTACAAATACTTTGCTTTAAAACCGAGTCCTCACACAGTGAGAAAAGAGAAATCCTGTACCTTTTATAATCGCATCACAGCCCCCTGAATCGTAATCGAATCAAATCGTGAGGTG